TAGATATACATACACACAAAGACATGTGGATATAGATTTAAGGTCGCCATCAAATCAAAACAAGTGCAAGTCTATCAATGACACATTGACAAATTACAGTGAAGCTAGATAATCACCATGACAACTTTCCTACGCTTGGCACTGAGGTTTACAATGTACTGGGATTATACAATCATTGTGACGCTAACAAATATTGTCTAAAATGTAGCTTAAAATTGTCGACGCCCTGTAGTCCAACACTTCTCAACCAATAATGGTTGGCAATACTTACTTCCCATGTCACCACTGGTGCGCTTACGGTAAACATACAAATTACAAGTTTTTGAAAAAATTGTGCGAGGATATTATAGCCCTCGATTTTCTGTGCACTAAAAAATAACATAAATATTCAAACTCCATCTGAATCAGCTTAACTTCTTAAGTCTCATATAGTACAAATCACCTGTATCACCTGTCGTCCCGTTGATCGTCGAGTGACTCGAGCGAGTACCAGCAACATTTCCATTTTTCCCTTTCGTGTGCAAAAGTAGCCCAGTTGTCCTCCTTGCTCTAGGAAATCTCTGAGCATCATATCTTTCTTCTACGCCTTTCGTGAAGAAATCGGACCATCGGGTCGGTGGTCTTCCTGTAGAGCGCTTGATATCTTAAGGAATCCAGTCGGTAACGGCTCTTGTCCATCGTGAAGCATATCACATGTCTGGCCCACCTTGTTTTAAATATCCTCTCGCGTAGAACGACGTCTTGGACCTTTATTCCTGACGTAGGTTGGAACTTCGGATCCTTTCTCTCATCTGCGAGATACGGAATACTCCTAGCATCGACCTTTTGAGTGTGCGTTCAATAACACCAAGTGATCTTTCATCCTGCTTACTTAGCGAATACGTTGGACAGGGATAATTGCTGAGTCGAAAATGGTGGGCTCAGAGTCGGATGTTCTTTATCCTCTTCACTACATCTTCGATGCTCTTAAACGCTCCCCAAGCCGCTCGTCTCCTCCAGCTCACCTCTGGAGCTAGGTCGTTCATCATGTTGATTTCGTGACCTAGATAGACGTTACTGGAGCACTCGGAGATATTCATTCCGTTAACCGTGAATGGGGCATTCAAAACCCATCCGCTTCTCATGAACATCGTTTTCGTTAGATTTAGTTGAAGACCAATCTTTCCACAGGCGTTATCGAAATCGGTCAATATTCGCTCCGCGTATCGAAATCGGTCAACATTCGTTCCGCTTGGCTGATGCTTGGTGTTATGAGGACGATATCATCAGCATAGCGAAGATGGCTTAATTGTCGAATGGTACAAATATGTACAATTATTCGCATCGCATGAGGATTTTTTACGGCGCACCCAGCAAGAGAAGCCACTACAGTGTCGTTGCAACAGACTGAGCATTCCGCGCTGTTCCGCCGCCTGTCGTGTGGAAGATCAACGTGGTATTCAACAGGTTAAGCTCTACTCTAAATAGGGGGGAGGGGGGGGGTGTTGAAACATAAACAGCAGATCTATAACAGAGGTTGTGCCCCCAGATAGAAATTATGATGAAGAATATTTGAATGAACTAAATATTGGAATCTCAGGGCTCTAGCTACTAGATCCTATACTGAAAATCGGCAGTATTACGAAGAAAAAGTCCGTATTCATGATTCTTACTTGGCGATCTGACATTTATAGGCGTTATACGACAAGAAAATAGTGACCTCTCTAACTTTTACACCCTTGCAATGTCATAACATCAGTGGGGGTAATTTACAAGAAGCACAGTGGCCAGTATGAAATCTATAGGTGCTTTTTTTTTGCTAGTATATTCTGGCTTGAAAAACAAAAGAAATACTACTTAAGATTGGCCAAAGATGGCTTTAATACATTTTCTGGAACTGAGACTAGATGGGTATTGTGATCTGAACCACGGTAGAACTATTATACAAAACGAATAATCCCATGAAACCTCAGTTTTTTACAGACACGAAGAAGTAGAATTGAAAGAAAAACTTAGCTAAGATTGCACAATTGCTCTGTTTTTATAAAAGTTTGAGGAAAGATATTTTCAAGCATGATTCAAGACCAAAATGCCGTTATCACGGCTTAGAATCACTTCGAAGCGTTTCTCGCATACGACAGCAATCACACACACACACACACACACACACACACACACACACACACACACACACACACACACACACACACACACACACACACACACACCACACACACACACACACACACACACACACACACACACACACACACACACACACAACTACACTATTGAGGAGTGAGCTGCTCTGATCTGATTCGGCTCGTCTGATTTCACCATCACCGTCGCCACCATGCCACCGACACCATCTCCGCCATCAACAACAACACGACCGCCGCCACTGTGAATGGCAGAGAAAGAAGTGGCAATCGCACTAACGCCCATATGGTCCGAGAAAACGAGCCATTCAGATATACACTTTACAACGGCGATGACAAATATCACTGAGAAGCTCATCTTTTCTGTCAAGCAATGATTTTGTCAAATGCACGTAATCTCACGTAATCTTGAGTCTTGTCTTGTTTACAAGAGCGTTAATGAATCACGTGAATCGTGAAGACTGCCCTCGCTGAGATGACGGGGACTGTCGCTGTTCACGTCGTTGTCGTCGTGAATCGTTGGCCGACTTTCCGCGACCTCTCCTTCTTCAGAGCCTACCCATTTTATGTTAAACTATTCATTCGATTGGGGGACTGCCCTTAGTGTTAATGAGAATTGCTGTACAAATGAACGCTGCTTGGCTAGAGTAAAACTCCTCATTGTTTTGTAAGGGGTGAGCCTACCAGTGTTGTTCACGTGGAGATGATGCTCAGATGAATCTAGAACAAAAATTCAAGCAGTGAAAAGGCTTCAATTTCATTAAAAATACTGTGGCAGTTGTAGAACTCCCAGCTTACATCCTAAACCGTCAACTAGTCCCTAATATCCTATGTGACCGTCTGTAACTCAAAAAATTGTATAATCTGTCTTCAGGTAAAGGAGAGGTTGTGTGAGTTGAGCACACTATAATTAATATCACGCAAGGAGTGCCAGAAAGAATACTCTAGTGAAACCAGTAGATCACTTTACATCACTTGAAAAAACATCTCGATGATAACTCAAAATTCGTCAATGTGCTCACAAGATTACATATGTGGTACAAAACAATGTGATGCTCGTCAAGTGTTGTTACGATCGAGGCGAAAAAGTCAAGAACATCAACACGCAGAACACTCGGAGAGCTTGGAAAAGCACAAAAAAATGCAAAAATGAGCCGAAACGAACAAACTCTTCAATATCACGAATTACGGGTACCTTTTCTCTGCTTGATTTTATGATGTGGGCGAATCTGAGCGTCAAGTGGACATCACTTGGTAGTCCTACCCCTTACAAAAAGTGAGGTCTTAATTTACAACAACATGAAGTTCATTTATAGAGCAGGTTTTCATATTGAACTATAAATAACCTACGGAATTATATGACTAACGTTATATAAATTACGTAATTCATAGAATAGGTGCAGTGGTTGGAACGTCAGCTTCCGAAGGATAAAGACAATTAAGGCAACGACATTTGACCGACTTAAGATTTATATATATTATAATTTATACTAAGATTTATGGAGAGTCAATCTTTCCAGCTAAAATTTTCTTCAATCGCAGATATAAAGAAGAAACTATACGATAAAGACTGATTTGAAAAATATGAATCATTTCACTCTGAAAGCTGAAATGATCAAAACAAGTTTGAATACTGTTGTTGAAATATTGTCAGTTTGCTGGCAGTACACTAAATGCTAGAATCTTCTTAAACGTAGTGGAGAAATCTTGGAAGAATAAAGTAGTTTCAAGGAAAAAACGTACAAGACGGTCAAAATGGCTTCAGCCCGACAATCAACGTTACCACCGGCAATAGTCGGTTACCATGGTGACAGATATTGCTAGCGTTCTTTGCAACGTCCCTCGCTCTATGCTCATCCTTCAATTTCTAGGCTGATTCTCCATCTTAACAGTAATGTTTTAACCAATTTGTGACTGCAAATTTAGTTTTCAATGTGACAATAAGATTGTGTTCTATAGCATTAGTTGCATATATTAATTTACAGTGCTCTTCAAAATGTGTGCTTGATTACAACTAAGGCGCTCAAAAAGTGATAATGACGCTTTATGATGAAATTTTTCACAGAAGAGTTGCAATTGCAAACACAAGATATATGGGGAACATAACGTGTCATGCTGAACGATATTGAGCTTATTAAATTTTTTTTGCAGCCCAAATATGAAGGACATTCTTACCTTCCAATTGACTATGTCTGAAACCTCGCTTGAAAGCTCGATAAAGTCTGACAGAATGCTTCAAACCTTTCAGAAGTCTGGTGTGGTATCTCTGGTGGTGTACGTACGTTTCGACATTCTGTTGCGGCACAGAGTGATCGGAAGTCTATGGCAACTTCAAATAATCCTTTCATTTCGTCTAAAATAATACGTCTTCGGCGTAGCTGCTATTAGTAGTAGGGATGAACTGTAAGGCTTATGGTACTGATGACTCGTGAGAGAGCGCTGGAAAGTACGCATACCAGTAGAGATGCCATATGGACCTGTGAAAGGCTCAAAATTTCGATCAGACCGTATAGAAATTATTATGAACATAATAATGCAATAGAGTAAAAAAAATGTCATTGGTCCCAGTAAGACAAGAGTGCTCTGATTATGTATACGAAGATTTTATTCTAAACTAAACCTTTTTTTACTGCCATTGAAACAAAGTGCGATATGAGCTGAGATATGTTTACTTAACACTTCGTTACGGCGCGTAATTGTTTTCACAAGCGATGACCGCTATAAAGGCCACGTGTGCCACTTTGTCATGCATTTAGTTGCTGTGCAGGAATTTCATGATAAAAATCAGTTTTACCATTTTTAAAACGATTTTGGCACTCTTACCATACATACCTAAGAGAATTGAGTGGTGAGCAAAAACACGGCCTCAGGAGAGAACCGAACCCACGTTTCATCCATACTGGGGACACGTGCTACTACCACTACACCACCGAGGCGCATTTGCTCCACCACTGATTCATCAACATCTCTATGTTAGCTATCAGCCAACAATCTTTAGCGGGTTTGGTCGAGTTGCGATTTCGCTTTATAAACTCCTTAAATATATGTGCACCATATTCTTCTCTACACCAACTTTTTTTGTTACACACACATCTCTTTCGTGTGTGGAAGAAAATGCTGCAGCCCACTATACTATGATTTGTGCCAGCATATTATGAGGTTGTACATGTTGCGTAAGGAATATTATGATGTTTACTTGACGGTTTTTATATCAGTTCCTTTCGAAGTCATCTCTGCACCTTCTCCACTGGCCAACATCCTTTGAAGCGCACAGTGATCTAGCACCAACACTCTCTCAAGGAATTGAGAAAACAAAGAAGAATTTGTGAATTAAGACACTTACCCATTAAGCAGCGTTTGCCGAAGCATCTGTTCTGGATAAGCGGTTGAGTGGTTGTAAGAAGTCGAGATAACTTCTGCACGCTGAAGTAAATCGAGGAAAAGAATGGCATGTGTAGATCTCGTACTGGCCAGTGTGACACTTATAATGGCCTCCACGGAGATCATGACATCGCAAAAAAATTTAAACTTGGAACAGTCACAATTTTCTTGACGTATGGCGCCTATAGGAGTCGGATCGCCAAGTAACAGTCATACATACAAACTTTTTTCTTCCTTTTCGTAATGTTGCCGAGTTTCAGAGCAACATCTTATACTTTAAGGTTGATATTCCAGTAAATATCTCATTTTTAGACTCTTCATCATATTTCCCGTGTAATATCACTTAATTTGATTCACTTCTGGCCTTCACTACTTTCAATGTAGTCTGAAAATTGTAGTCTTCTTCATGACTCTCGTAGAATACTGGTCATAACGATTCTTCTTACAGTTTTCACAATCTAAGACGTTTCCTAAGCCGTTCGTTGGTTGAGAGCAAGAGAGTGTTGATGAAGGAGATCGAATCAGCATTTCGCTTATCGCCTCACTTCCTGATACTCTTTTGAATTAACCATTGTGCTACACGGCCTCTTAAAGTATTGTTCATAGCAACTAATGTACTCAACTCAGCGCCATTTTAGGCAGAATCGTTTGACTCTCGGCACAAACTTCTTCTAACTGCTATTGTGCTCGTTGGCACTGACTTTGAGTTCTGAGATACTACTTTGTCTTCCCCATCCTACAAACCGCCGACTCGTTGAACCAAAGGTGTAAGTAGTTAATGAATACAACAGTTTGTTTTCATTTCTGAGCACTTCAAGCTCAGCGCACCTGAGCGACCACAGGACGTTCCCTGTGATGTTTTTCTCAGTCATTGTCCGAAAAATGTCAAACCGTTTTGTGCTTTCCTCACTAAAGTAAATCTTCGAAGGCACAGAATGAGCTGAATGAGCGATCAGTGAAACAAAGCGTGAAAAGGTTATGGAAAAAAGGAATACATATTGAAGAAATTTTCGTGAAAAATTGCGCTAAATCAGATCTAAATCTAAAATGCTGTGCAATTTTTTCGAAAATCTTGGTTCGAAGTGATGATTATTCGGTCGATTCTGGAGATAATAATGAGATAGAGTGCTAGAATTTCCACCTCATCACCACTTCCCAGTTACCTACAATGTTGCCACCAGAGTCTAACCTTCAATATTTACCTACTCTTACTCAAGTTTCTGAATAAAATTTTAAACTTCACAGCTTGAGAGAAACTGCTGTCAAGTGCCTCATCGGTGTAGTCCATATATCTTTTGGCATTTGACATGACCCACTCAAGCCACACTGAAGATTTAAGCTATTAGGTGGTCAGCTTTCCCGAAAAAACTGCAAAAAGTGAAACCTCAAAGTTAAGGATGGGTAGCAAGTACCCACTTTCACTCGGTGTGCAGATTGGTATGCTTCTCGCCGATCTCACCTTCAACGTCGCTTCGGTATTAATGTTCAGAAACCAAACAGTGCTGTTGATGATGTATATGTAAGTTTTATGCTCTCGGAAATTATTTCTGCAAAAAAGAGATGAACATAATTTTTTCATTCATAGGCTAACACCAAGTTGTTATAAAGTTCCATTTGACTGACGTTTCAGCAATCTCCTTCCTCACAGTCAGGCAAATTAATCCTGGTAGATTGTGCGCAGCCATTCATTTTTCCTAAATGTATCCGTAGTCATATCGAATCGAATCCATCTCAGTGGAGTACCACTCGATTGAAGTTTTATCACTCAGTGGGCGCCATTTTATGTACCCTAGCTGCTGTCTCACTATCCTTGATAATAATTTATTTATCTCCAGGTTACGATTGTGTAGCAGTTAATCTGCCTACGGGAAATCGAAAATTTTGCAGCCAATCTTCATATAATCTCATTTTTTTCATTTATGTCTATTTTAATTTGATAAGGTAACAGTATAGTTAAATATGAAACTTTACTCAGCGAATTTTCCGGAGTAGCAATCATTTTGAAAATACGGATCTATGTGTTCACGTCGGGTCAATTCCAGTGGAGTGCAGCACTGATCGAATAAATCATACGATGTAATAGTATATTAAGTTCGTTAGTATATCAAAGCGAACTATGAGTTGGCTCACAGAAAAAGTAAATTCTTTTTCAATCCAAAGTAAAGCACCCAAAATTTCAGCATGATTTGATGGGGTGAACAACGTAGACCTCGTAAGCTTTCTCTGATCAGCGCATACAAGTCAGAGAGCAGCAGCAAATTTCTTCGATGCCATTTTCATGTACAGAATCCCAGTTAGCAAATTGATCTACTGTACTATGGTCTTTTTTTGCTAATAATGTTTTGGCAGCCATTTTGAAAAGTCTATGTAGTTTATAAAATTCTAATTCGAATAAGAGGGCAGCAACTTTTTTTTCTGCTTGATGCGCTGCCCCGTTTTTCCTGTGCACAGATTGGTCTTCAAAGGAGTCGATTTTTTCCATAAATACGTTAGAGTTTAGTGGTTTTTAGAAAAAGAATAGAAAAGAAACTGGCTCAGTTTCTTTAGTGATTTCTTGCTATAATTGAAGTACGGTTCTTGTCAACCTTTGGAGCATTAAATACCTGAATAGTTTATTCGAGTGGACTTTGACGGATTCCGTGCTGCACTGAGCCATCTGAAACACTTTTACATATTTGCCGACACAGTTCCATAAGCGAGATTGTTCTACAAAATTGGTGTATTCCAAACTGCATCGGATGTACTGTCATCTAACTTTGTCTGAACTTTCTTTCACCTTTCACTGAGTAGTTTATGACAGAAGGAGTAGCATTAGAACTTTTAGTTGAAGAGCTGCAATACATTCACAAGGCCCTTTCGAAATTAGTGACGACCACCGAATGGTCCAATCAAAGGGAGTAAAGATGGTGCTGTGGTCCACGACGTCTTCTCAATGACGAACTGTTTCGATGGCAAAATGGCATCCATAATAATTTGACGTTGCAACGCTTTTCTATAAGTAATCTATTATCTGAGATAGTAAATAAGAATGCCAATTGTTCAAGATGATGAAGGCCTTCCCCTAATGAAGCAATTTTTTTCAAAATGCTTCACTATAGCCATGTTAGGTTGACATCACTTTCACTCGCATTCTTCTGAAAAAAAGAGTTTGCAGTTTTTTAGTGCAGACGATCACATCATCAAATGTGGATTTATGCTTGGCCGAGCTTCAAGAAATGCCGAAGACTTTTTCAAAACAGGATCAAACTTATAAATCTCATTCTGTGACTAGGTTCAAACTTTCTGCGACTATGTATTGAAATCTAAGGGATAGTATCTTTCCAACCAGTGTGCTCGCCTGTCATAAAAATTATCGCGGATCGTAGCATTTGATTCACTTTACACTCCGAAGTTCGTAAGTCAAAAACGCATTCAGGCTCAGATCAAATTAGGCTGCTGCTTAAGAATGCCGGTCGGTTGAGATCCTTCTGAAGAAGTAGGAGAGCTCTCCACCATCTATTAGCTATAGAGCTTTAGGGAAGACGTTTTCTAACCTCTGTTGATTGGTAAGGGCTTCTCCTTGAGAACTGTGCTAATGCTAATGTTACAGGGATGAGAAATTTGGTTAGCTGTGCTAATTTTCGCCAAGGACCATGTGGCTGTTGCACGAAGTCTCTTTCCTCTATACAATTCACGCCCAGATTTACTGTAACTTTTCTAGCATCAAGAGGGTGTTTATCAGAAAAAAACCTCTCGGAAGACAAAGCTACGAAGTTTTAAAGGAGCTTAAAACTGCAAGTTTACAATATTCCAGTTTTCATACGACCCGCACTCAGATGTAGTGTGTGGATTCCAGTATTTCTTGCTTAAGAGATTCCTCGTATCCATCTACTATGAAGGTCTACAGGTATTTTGCTTGCGTTTCAGCTCCTAATTCAGATATCAGCTTATTTATGAATGTCGTAAAATACAGATTGAGACGATTATCTTCGCGATCATAGCGACAACCGAGCTGAAGCGCCCTTATATTTTGACAATTAGCTTTTTGAAGTCCTAATCTTCTGCACCACAAAATGGGGGCTCACAGTGCTTTCATGTGCTAAGGTGAAGTCTCCAAGTGGTGATAAAAACAGCAAAGTGTTGAAGAATCAAACTGGTCTGATAACGCCGTCATATAAGATGTGACATTTCAAAAAGTTGCCTTGGGTGGCAACTTAACAGAAAAATTGATAAAGGATCAATAAAAGTTTGAAAAAGGTGAGTAAGCTCAAACTGAATAGTAGCTTAATTTTGCTCGAAAACGTACCTTTTAGTTTTATTAATGTGATACCGTTTCAGCCTACAGGACACGTTAATACTGCTATCTGTGGTTGTGTTGGTGATCGCATTCTCGTCGACGTTCGTCTTTCAAGCGGGATTGATCTTTCTATTGTTTAGACGATTTGCTCCAACGCTGATATCGGCTTTAATCTATCTTGGCTTTACTATTACCTTTCACTATGTCTCTCTGGTTAGTTATTTATGGGTTCGACCAAACTTTCGCCTCCAGTCACAAACTTTTTATACTTCACGTCTT